GAAAGTGATCAGGAACAGTCAGCATGGATTCACCAAGGGGAAGTCATGCCTGACTAACCTAATTGCCTTCTATGATGAGATAACTGGCTCTGTGGATGAGGGGAAAGCAGTGGATGTGTTATTCATTGACTTTAGCAAAGTTTTTGATACGGTCTCCCACAGTATTCTTGCCGCCAAGTTAAAGAAGTATGGGCTGGATGAATGGACTGTAAGGTGGATAGAAAGCTGGCTAGATCGTCAGGCTCAATGGATAGTGATCAATGGCTCCATGTCTAGTTGGCAGCCGGTTTCAAGCGGAGTGCCCCAAAGGTTGGTCCTGGGGCCGGTTTTGTTTAATATCTTTATTAATGATCTGCAGGATGGTGTGGACTGCACTCTCAGCAAGTTTGCAGATGACACTAAACTGGGAGACTCCAGTAGATACACTGGAGGGTAGGGATCGGATACAGAGGGACCTAGACAAATTAGGGGATTGGGTAAAAAAAAAACCTGATGAGGTTCAACAAGGACAAGTGCAGAGTCCTGGACTTAGGACGGAAGAATCGTATGCACTGCTACAGACTAGGGACCAAATGGCTAGGTAGCAGTTCTGCAGAAAAGGACCTAGGGGTCACAGTGGACGAGAAGCTGGATATGAGTCAACAGTGTGCTCTTGTTGCCAAGAAGGCTAACGGCATTTTGGGCTGTATAAGTAGGGGCATTGCCAGCAGATCGAGGAACGTGATTGTTCCTCTTTATTCGACATTGGTGAGGCCTCATCTGGAGTACTGTGTCTAGTTTTGGGCCCCATACTACAAGAAGGATGTGGAAAAATTGGAAAGAGTCCAGCGGAGGGCAACAAAAATGATTAGGGGTCTGGAGCACATGACTTATGAGGAGAGGCTGAGGGAACTGGGATTGTTTAGTCTCCAGAAGAGAAGAATGAGGGGGGATTTGATAGCTGCTTTCAACTACCTGAAGGGGGGTTCCAAAGAGGATGGAGCTCGGCTGTTCTCAGTGATGGCAGATGACAGAACAAGGAGCAATGGTCTCAAGTTGCAGTAGGGGAGGATCTAGGTTGGATATTAGGAAACACTATTTCACTAGGAGGGCGGTGAAGCACTGGAATGAGTTACCTAGAGAGGGGGTGGAATCTCCTTCCTTGGAGGTTTTTAAGGCCCGGCTTGACAAAGCCCTGGATGGGATGATTTAGTTGGGAATTGGTCCTGCTTTGAGCAGGGGGTTGGACTAGATGACCTTCTGAGGTCCCTTCCAACCCTGATATTCTATGTTTCTATGAATCATCATTTTCAAGTGATAAACAAGTTATAGATTACAGCCCTGGAAACACTCAGCCAGGGAGACTTGAGATTTTTTCTTAAATAAAAAAGGAAAAGAGCTAGGGGAAACATATTCACAATATTAACACAGTTCCTTTTCTTTGAGCAAGTACATCTCAAATTTAAAAAAAAAAATTAAAAACTTAATATTTTTAATTTCTAAGAACAACTAATGAAAAAATCATCATGCTCTAGGTATTCTAAAAATACAGGATAGTGATGCATTTATCACTGCCTCCTAGTGGTTGCTTTATAAAGAAAAGAAGTCCTGTTCCTAACAGGTGGCACATGGGCCAGGTTTTTTGGACTCAAAAGATCCTAGATTCTGTCCTCCACGCAAATATATTGACATATATATCCGTGTTGTTATCTGTGTGCACAGTACAGAGATTAATTACAATGTGTTATGGTTACTGGTGGTCTCAGATACATGAGATACTTTGGTCTTTAGCCTCACGATGCATCCTTGGGTGTGTCACTGTTATCCTTGTTTGTTCCTTTGTGTAATATTGCCCATTGTCCAGAAAAATATTCAAAGTCTAACGTATTTCTCTATTGTATTTTAACAGCTATAAAGCTAGATGCAGTTGATGTTCAGACATATATTGCCCGATCCCTGATTGATGGCTTTGAAGGACCAATGGGTTACAGTCAACTATTTGGACTACATCACGTGAATTTTGAAGATGGCAACAGACAAAGGACACCAAAGGAGTCAGCATATTTCTTCTCCAGTGTTATTGAAAAGAATGGTTTCCCCAAAGAAGTCATGGACAGATCTCTTCAGTCACTGACGTGTGATTCGCCCCCACCACCAAAGTTACTCAGTTTACCAGCGTCTGATGTACCTTCAAAGGCAAAAGTTGTTTGGGAAAAATTCTCACCCCAAACTAAGTTTGAAAGGGACATGTACTTCTATGGAACCTTCCCAGATGATTTTACATGGGGTGTGTCCTCCTCTGCCTACCAGATTGAAGGAGGTTGGGATGAGGATGGCAAAGGGCCTAGCATTTGGGATAACTTCACCCACATCCCAGGGAAAGTAAACAATAATGAGACTGGAGATATAGCTTGTGATAGCTATAACAAACTAGCTGCAGATCTTTACATGCTGACAGCTTTAAGGGTAAAGAGCTATCGCTTCTCTCTGTCTTGGCCTCGCATTTTTCCTAGTGGAAGAAATGATTCCATAAATAGCCATGGGGTTGATTATTACAACCGACTTATCAATGGTTTGACTGCAAGAAATATCACTCCTATGGTCACTCTGTACCACTGGGATCTGCCTCAGGCTCTCCAGGACATTGGTGGCTGGGAGAACGATTTATTGATTGAACTTTTTGATAGTTTTGCAGACTTCTGTTTCCAGACTTTTGGAGACAGAGTGAAATTTTGGATGACCTTTAATGAACCCTTCGTCATTGCATGGGCTGGATATGGGTTAGGAGAATTTCCACCAAATGTGAAGGATAATCCAGGTCACACTCCCTATAAGATTACACACACGTTACTAAAAGCTCACGCCAGGGTTTACCATACGTATGACCGTAAATATAGAGTCAGTCAGAAAGGGGTTATTTCTTTGAGCCTCAGTGTTGAGTGGGTTGAACCAAAGACACTGGATGATCCCAGAGATGTGGAAGCAGCAGATCGCTATCTGCAGTTTAGGCTAGGGTGGTTCGCACACCCAATTTTCAAAAATGGGGACTACCCAGAGGTCATGAAATGGACAGTAGGGAACAGGAGTGAGCTACAGAACTTGCCATCATCCCGTCTGCCAGCTTTCACGGCAGAGGAGAGAGAATACATCAGGGGCACAGCCGATGTCTTCTGTTTCAACACCTACACCTCCAAAATTATAAAGCATAAGACCACCAGGCTAAAACCATTCTCTTATGAGGATGACCAGGAGCGATTGGAGGAGGTTGATTCATCCTGGCCTACCTCAGCAATTTCAGAAATGAGAGCTGTAGCCTGGGGTCTCAGGAGGCTGCTGAATTGGATTAAAGAGGAATATGGCAATCCCCCAATTTACGTAACTGAAAATGGGGTGGGAACACAGACCAAATCTGACGTTGATGACACGAACCGGATATTTTACTACAAAACATACATCAATGAAGCTCTGAAAGGTATTGGGGTTATTTACAGTAGTGCTAGCATGATGATGAAAGATTTCCACCATCATGGGCTCCAGGCCTGTTTTTTTTTCTCCCAGTGAGGAATGTCTTTTAAAAGATAAGCATCCCTTGTCTTCCCTAACACATCAGGAACTGAAGATGCTTAGAATGAGATGTGCAGCTTGCCAGGTCTAAATTGGAGGTCACCCTGGAAATAGTTTTACAAACAAAAATTGAGCTTTCTCAGCTCCTCTATGCTCACCTTCCCTTCTTGTTCATTTACCCTTCTTTCCCTTCTCTTATGCCATGCTGGCTGATGCTTCTTGGATGGATATATTGAGTCCGGCCCGAATAGCTAGCAATTACCATCCAATGGTGGTTCTGAATTAGGAAGCTTTCACTTCTGTTGTCCCTTCCATGAGCTGCAAAGTTAGCTTAAACAGCATGTTGGGGATTCCCATGGTTTGGGGGAATCGCCAGGTGTGAAAGAGCCAGCCTGTACCACCTCAGACCCCGTGGTGTAAGAGTGTCAGAGGAGAAGGGGAATTGTCTAAAAAATGCTGAACCACTGGCTGTAGAATGGACCCTTGGGGAACTGCTGCAGCTAGGCATCATTTAGTGCAGCCTTGCGGATCTGGGGCATGGAGCCTTGATTTTTCTATGCACCGGCCTTAATGGGGAAAAGGGGAGTTGATGATGATTTTAACTGAGGTAACTAAACTAGAGATGACGCTGTGCCATGAATCTCAGCTCTGGACTTTGAGAGAAACTTTAGGGGTATTCAGATTTAGCGTTTTGTCTTTTTTTCCCTCCCATCTCTAAACTAAAACAAACAGAAAAGACACCGGAGCCTTCATTATCTTCTGATAATGCCAATTGGTAAACCAGGCTGTAATGTACTGACTTTGTGTATATGATATTGCCCTCTAGCGACTGGCCCACCCAAATAGTAAGGGACGCTTCTAAAGATACTAGCTAAGGAAGATCTCCTTTAGCTTGAGGACGAGGGTTCTAGTCCCACTTTCTGAAGGGGTATATGATTCATCTACTGTTTGTGTTCACACATGAATCCTTTGCAATACCTTATAGTTTACATTAGGATACTTCACTGATTCTGTTCTATCACGTACGTTATCCAAGCAACTGTTTTGTTTTTTTTAAAATATTTTCAGCCTACAAGTTGGATGGCGTTAATCTTCGAGGATACATTGCTTGGTCTCTCATGGACAACTTTGAATGGTTGCATGGTTACAGTGCCAGGTTTGGACTGCACCAAGTTGATTTTGAAAATCCCAACAGGCCAAGGACCCCCAAACGCTCTGCTGTGTACTATGCTGAAGTCATACGTAACAACGGGATCCCATTACCAAAAGAGGATGAGTTTTTATATGGGGAATTTCCAAAGAATTTTTCATGGAGCGTAGCAACCGCAGCATATCAGGTTAGGAGATCATAATGTCATCTGTATATTACCAGTGAACAATTGATTGTTTCAGAAGACACTCAAAGCTTTCATAAAACTGGGATTTAGTAAAATTGCAGGAACTTATAATAGCTAATAGACTGGGGAATGCAAAGACACTTAAGAATAACGTATGTCCTAAAATGGGAATTTAACTTCAAAATCAGGAGATAACTTGTTTTTATATAATTATAGATTGAAGGAGCCTGGAGAGCAGATGGGAAAGGACTTAGCATTTGGGACCAGTTTGCTCATACTCCCTTGAAAATTAGCAATGATGAAAATGCAGATGTAGCTTGTGACAGCTACCACAAGCTTGAGAAGGACTTGGCTAGTCTGAAAGCTCTCCAAGTGTCTCACTATCGCTTTTCAATTTCCTGGCCCCGTGTTCTCCCAGATGGAACTACAAAGCGTGTAAATGAAGCTGGATTAAACTACTATGAGAGGCTTATTGATGCTCTCCTTGCATCTAATATTAAACCTCAGGTAAACATCTATATATAAGAAGATTTCAGGATTGTCACGGTCTGTGTGTCATTTTGAAGCCTAGAATGTCAGTTGTCAGTGTGAAGCAATGGACACAGCTACTAGCGTGGTTGAGAGGTCTTTTTGTTTAGAATATTACCAGGTTCAATCATCATTGGTATTTGCAGTCTGTTACCATCCAGTTTTTCAGCTTTTCAGCCATATTGGGCTTTTTTATGCATATGACTTTACACCTGTATGACAGTACAGACTTTCCAGCCCTACATTTTTATGATTCTCAAGAGGTCATCTTGTCCAGTCCCCCACGCTGAGGCAGGATTAAGAACACTTAGGCCACCCTGACAGCTGTTTGTCTAACCTTTTCTTAAAAACCTCAAGCGTGGGGGATTCCCTAGGTAACCTGTTCCAGTTCTTAATTACCCTTTTAGTTAGAAAAGTTTACCTAATACTTAACTTCAGTCTTCATTGCAGCAAATAATGATGCTTGGACTGTGAATCTCATAAAAAGCGGTTAATAACAATTTGATACCAAAAATAAAATTTTTCATTCTCTCAAATTACCATGTGCAGTCGTCCCTGAGCCCCGGTCCTAAGAGTTGCTGAACTCTCTCAATTTTTATGGACTTCAGGGGGAGTTGAGGTTGTTCAAAAGTCTTGCAGGATCGGCCCCTATCTTTGTAAATAACAGAATCAAAGTTTATTTTCCCCTTCAAACATTAAGCACGTGACTGTCTCAGCCTAGCAAAAAATAGGAATTCTATTTAAAAGGGTAAAGAGAAACCATATCTTGTGGTTTTTCCAGCTGCAATCCTTGTGGTGTGAAATGCGCGGCGCGGCTGATAAGAGATGCTTGATGCTCAGGGAATCTTGGGTGTCTTTTTTTTCTTTTAATTTAAATCCCTGAATTTATAGGGCTATCCATTCACTGTCTTCCATTGGGCGGGGGCGGGGAGGGGAGGTACCAGATTCTAATTTTAGCTTGCTTTGATAACAATTCCAGAACTGGTATAGTCGTCCACTTGGGTCCATCACTGGGCTATTGTGACTATTGATTACATTAAGGATCAAATCCAAACCTGGCACAAATAAGTACATCTCCAGGGTTGGATTTTTACTAGTGTCTGAAAAGACTGTAGAAGAAATTAGTAGTAGTATTTGTGTGTATTAGTGACCACTGTATTGAGCTGCGCACAATACAGGCTTTGGGAGATTCCCTTTATGATACAAATCAATTAATGTAAATGCCTATCAGTCAGCGACTGTCATGTGATGATAATGCAGGCTTCCGTAAGTAACGTCATGTCCCTTGTCCATTTCTTCATGAATGAGAGTGAATCAGTGATTATCTCATAAAGTAACTAGTGATGTTTGTAACTGTCTCTCTACATAGGTAACTATTTACCACTGGGACCTCCCTCAGGCCCTGCAGAATGTTGGCGGTTGGGAGAATGAAACTATAGTTCAGAGATTTAAAGAATATGCTGAGTTACTTTTCCAGAGGCTGGGAGATAAAGTGAAATTTTGGATAACCCTCAATGAACCCTATATAATCGCAAATCTTGGCTATGGCTATGGCACATCTGCTCCAGGTATGACTACTGTCTTTAAGCTGTGTTCTCCGGTGCGAGTAAGAAGTGAGTTCATGGTTATTCAGGAGACAACGGATGATGATATGGTTAAGGCACTGGATTGGGACTCAAAAGGTCTTCGTTCAATTCCTGGGTCTGCCACAGACTTTCTTTGTGATCTTGGGCAAGTCACTTTTATGTCTCTCTGCTTCAGTTCCTTAGCTGTAAAATGGAGTTAGTTTATATTGGGAGTTTCCAAAGAACTTTTAATGAAACATTGCTTCTGCAACATATCAGGTTGGGAAATGACAATGTGAATTACTAGTGGACAATCAAATGTGTATGCAGAAAACACACAGGTTTTATAAAACTGGGGTTTGTAAAGTTTTACTTAATAGGGGCATTGCAAGGATAAAATCTGTTGTGAGGTGCAGAGTATTAGATAGGGTGATCAGATAGCAAGTGTGAAAAATTGAGGTGGGGGGTAACAGGCGCCTGTATAAGACAAAGCCGTGAATATTGGGACTGTCCCTATAAAATTGGGACATCTGGTCACCCTAGTACTAGAGCACTGAGGGCCACATAATTATCCAGAGAGACAGGACCATACAGTACCTCCTGTGGAGACACCTACATGTGAGGTATGGAACCTCTGCAGTGCTCATGCATCACATCCTTGAAGTCATCCCCTAATGGGAGAGTGAGACATGTAGCTTCCCCACATCATGGATCTCCAGGAAGGGAAAAGTTCTCTCAATCCTATGGAAAGAGATTCTCTCTGTGTGTTGTTCTGGACCCCTCTGCCCTGCAGTTTGGCCCCTGCGGAGCCAGAGGAGATGGTGTTTCTTCTTTTACTGGCAGTTCTAGTTGTTCTTTTTGTGTTACTCTGCTGGAAACAGCAGGCTTGGTTGTGGGAGTAGCCCTGTCTCACCTCATGTATTGCTCTCTTCAGGAATCTTTGCTAGACCAGGTAGAGCTCCTTACATAGTAGGGCATAACTTAATAAAGGCCCATGCTGAAGTCTGGCATCTGTACAATGAAACCTACCGTCCTAAACAAGGAGGATTAATCTCCATTACCATTAACTCTGACTGGGCTGAGCCAAGAAACCCTGACAAGCAGGAAGATATTGACGCTGCGAAGCGATATGTGCAGGTACACAGGAGATCTCACCAATACACCCTTTGCTCTTTCTCACTCCATTTTCCTAACCCATAGTTACTATGATTCAGAGATGCCTTGACCTGGATCACTGCCTTGCCATTTTCTAGCAGATTGTTGCAGTGAACCAAGCCTAACACTGAGGCTCTCGATATCTTTTTCATGTACCAATAGTTTTAATTGTGTAGAACCTCCTTAAGATTTTTGTCTCCCAGAGACACCCATCCTCTCCTTGATAACACCCTGTAGCAGAGCAGTTATACAGTAAGCAGCAGAGAAGAGCCAAAATAGAAATACAGCACCACAGCTGTGTTGTTCTTACTGATAACGTAAGGCACTTCCCTGCATCTCTGTTTGCTCATTCATTTAAAGTAAATGGTAAATGGTATGGCACAAATTTTGCCATTGGCTAGTAGAATATTAGCTCAGATTCTTGCATGGCATTCAGTTGGAGACGTGTTATTTAACCCCTCACCCCCTTTCTTATTTCCTTGGCTTAGTTTTATGGTGGTTGGTTTGCTCATCCCATTTTCAAAAACGGCGATTACAATGAAGTGATGAAAACGAGGATATGGGAGCGCAGCCTGGCTCAAGGGCTGAGCAAATCACGGTAAGCGCCTGGTAACAAGACATGAGCAAATACGTTAACTTCCACCTTGTAAAATTCCACTGTCCTGGTAAGGATGTGTGGGCCAGTAAATATTCATGATTATTTTAAAGCTGGGGTGAAGTAGTTACGATAAATTTGCAGTGACCCTTACTTCTGAGGTATTATGTTACAGTGGTTAAAACAGTGGCCTTATGAAAGGATGGGGAGGATGAAGAATTGGGATTCAGGCTTATGATGATAAACCGTATGAATCATTTCCCCTTTAAAATAAACCTGGCTAGGCCAAGGAACATTCTCTAGCCTGCTTAGTTCTGCAGTGGTAGGATCCCAGAAGTGCCTCCTAATCTGTAGTGACTCGCATCTTCTCTACTATACAGTCCAGCTGTTACCCAGAAGTGGTTTAAAACCTTAACTCTAGCGATAACATTTTCATTTGTTTGCTGTCCAAGATGTGAAGAATGCCCCTAACAATCTGTAACCCCTCTTTTTGTCATATGACTGCAGTGGTGTTAACTGGCCACTCTACCTGGAATGGTCCCTTAGAATATGTGCTAGCTACTTAGAGCAGATTGTTTAGCATATCTTGCATTTAGCTGTGGTGCTCCGAGACCTGAAGAAGAGCTCTGTGTGGCTCGAAAGCTTGTCTCTCTCACCAACAGATGATATTAATTTACCCATCTTGTCTCCTTTAAGGAGGAAAGCTTTGTCAGGGTCAGTCCCTTCCTGCTTGCACCAATTCACTGGTGTAGCTCAATCTGTTTTTCAGGAACACCAAATAAACTTGTATAAAAAAGTGCTCACCATCTGTATACGTCTGACCTGTTTTGTGTAGAGTATTTTACCTACTTGATTTCTGACCTATGTAAATACAATCTGTTAATCCTGTAAATGAGCAAATGGAGAGGATTTGGGATAAATTAGTTTATCATCTTAATTAAATACATCTATAGGAGTTGCTGTATTCCCCTAGAAAGTTATCTTTTTTGCTTTTGGGTTTAATGTTAAAACTATTTCTGCACATCTCATTTGCAAACAAAATGAACTTCTGTAAAATCACTTTCTTCAAGAGTTTCTTTGGGGGTAATGACACAAACAGGCAGCTCAAAATTGTACATTGGATGCTCTGCAGTGGAAGACCTACTGCTCCTATACAGATGCATTGAATGTTGCTTTCAACTGCTCTTAAAAATGGTATGTTATATTGATCAGCTGTGAAAAATTGAAGCCTGGCAACTCAAAAAACTTAATTCAAAGGCACCAGTCTGGCCAGATGGTACATCAATCCATTGTGCTATCACAGCTTTATCATGAGATGTTGGGAGCAACATCAAACTTCTGTGCTGCAGATCACCTTCCCTTTCTCAGAGTCTGGCTACACCCTGGCCAAATAGTGAATCATCTTCACTTTCATAGCATGGTGTAGCGAAACTGGCAGAGCTGTGCACTTGAGCTGTGCAGTATTTCTGATCATTTACCTCTGAAAAGGTAAAGGAATGTTTGCTGATGTGGTCTTGAAGAAATTGCTTAGCATGCTCTGGGAAAGGTGTGGTTTGGTGGCTGTAGTGCATTAATGCTTGAGTTCTGGTCCCAGCTCGGGAAGGAGTGCCCTAGTGGTTGGATGTCAAGATTCTTGTGTTCAAGTTCCATTTCTGCCACACTCTCACTTTGGGCAAGTCTCTCAGTATTCAGATCAATAAAATGGGTATTATGATGCTTACATCAGAGACTTTTAGGTTGAATAAATTGGTGTCTGTAAAGCACTTTTCACAATCACAGTGGGCTGCGTAAGTTCAATTATTTCTCATTATTGTTAACATTCTAACAGGTATGTAGTTTCTTTAGGGAATTCAATTTTTTTCTGAAACTTACTTGTTTTTAAAAAGGGAAAAGAGATTGACCACAAAACAAATCCTCTAAATATTTCCCAGTAAAAGGAATTTTGTCAGTAAAAGTCTTTCTTGTTTTTCCCTTTTAATGCAGACTCCCAGAATTTACCGAAAGTGAAAAGCAGAGAATTAAAGGCACATTTGATTTCTTTGGTTTCAATCATTATACCACAATATTGGCATACAACTTAAACTACGCTTCTGCCATCTCATCCTACGACGCTGATAGGTAAGACATAAGCATAAAGTTATAGTCAAATAACACACACACTTCTGGAGCCTGTGCCAATATGATCAACATTAAAAATTAACTTGACAAGCTCTTGGACTTTTAGACACCCAAGACTTGGGCTAGTAAAATATTCACTGGGTCAGAAGTTTGGGTACTGTCCAAAATTCAGGGAATAAATGTGATACTTGCTGCCCTTGCTCCATATTCACAAGCTTATGACACTGAATTTTTAGCAAGCACAGTTAAGAACAGAACCACTAATTAGGGTGACCAGATGAGAGGAAGAAAATATCGGGACACATGGCGGAGGGTCCACCTGCGGAGCAAAAACAAAAAAAAAATCCCAGTGCTGCCAGCGGAGAAAAATATCGGGACAAATTGCGTCCCCACCAAAGATTGGTCGGGACACAGGACAAACACCTAAATATTGGGATGGTCCCGATTTTATCGGGATGTCTGGTCACCCTACCAGTAATAAAGGAAAATGTGTTTGTCAGAAGTTGATATAAAAATGTGAGTAGACTATCTTGAAAATGGTATCTTCATATTCTCTGGCTTTTGAGATGGCAGACTATACTGGCTTCTAGATACTTAATAGTTGTCTTTTAAATGTGTGTTTGTCATAATGGAATTCATCTACCAACTACAGTGTGAAGCTTTAAGGGTGAAACAACTTAAATACTAAACATATGTAAAGCTTCTTATTTTAATATTAAAATAACCTTCTGGCCCAGTTTTATATTTAATAGATTAGCAAATACGGGCTGTTTTTAACAACTGTTTTGGTTTATAGGAGGGGGAAATGCTGGTAATTTTCCTCTCCACCTATGGTTCCACATAAATAGCTGTTTTGCCATCAGTGTATGGAGAGAGTTTGTAGATAATTCCCATAACTTCGATGAGAGTTGGTTATAAATCCCCCTTGATGAGAGAGAGAGAAACAGAGATCAGAGGACCACATTCTCGGATCAAGGAGATTTTACATCTAGGGTGACCAGATGGCAGAAGTAAAATATCAGTAGAACACATGGGCGAGGGGGCAGCCACAGGCGCACAGCCCTGATCGGAGCCATGGGGGGGGAGGGGGCGCAAAGCCCTAGGAAGCTGTGAGGGGGCGCGTATGGCCCCTGCTGCCATGGGCGCATGATCCCAGTTCCAGCCCCAGCCCCGTTGCTGGCTCAACCCAACTGACAGTCACCTCACCTTCCACCCATGGGATGGGACAGGCGTGGGCGAGTGTCTGGGAGGGCTGGGGGTGGTAGAGGTGCTGGGCTGTGAGGGGGTGGAGGGTGCTGGGCAATGGGGGAGGTTTGTGTGTTCTGGGGTGCTAGACACTTGGGGGCACTGGGCAGTGGGGGACATCTGTGTGTATCGCAGCGCTGGGAAGTGGGGGTCTGTGTGGGGTACTGTGTAGTTGTGGTGGTGGGGCTGTGGCGAAGGACACTGGAGAGGGGGAGATCTGTGTGTGTTGGGGAACTGGGGGGTGTGGAGTGGTGGGGCTGTGGGCAGGAGGGTACTAGGTGGTGGTGGTGGTATGCAGGGCTCTGTGCATTTGTGGTATGGTGTATGTGTGTGGGGGGAGCTCAGCATAGCGGGTCTGGGGGGTGCTGTGGCCTACCCCCAACAGGAAGGGGCACACTGGCAGCACAGGGCCAAGCAAACCAATATGTGTCTGGCTGGCCTCCCCACCCGCTGCTCACCTCCTCACCTGAGGGCTTGGGGAGGAGGTGGGGGGTGGGGTCCAGGCGGTGCTTACCTGGGACAGCTCCTGGGAAGTGGCTGGCAAGTCCCTCTGGCTCCTAGGGTCGGGGCGACCAGAGGGCTCTACGCGCTGCTTGCGCCTACAGGTCCTGCCCTGCAGTTCCCATTGGCCATGGTTCCCGGCCAATGGGAGCTGTGGAGCTGGCGCTCGTAGCAGGCGCAGCATACAGAGACCCCCCTCCACCTAGGGGCTGCTGGGTCCTGCTGGTCGGGAGCTATGTGGAGCCAGGTAGGGTGCCTGCCCATTAGGGTCACCAGTCCAACCCCACGCCAAATATCGGGACAAATGGCATCCCGATCGTACATCTGTCAGGACATGGGACAAACAGCTAAATATTGGGACAGTCCTGATTTTATCGGGACGTCTGGTCACCCTAATTACACCCAATTCCCATTAGAGTTAAGGGAATTATCTACATACATGGAGAGGAAAATGAATTACCAGTATCACCCCTGCTATCAGTGAAAATGTTAGCCACTGCCTTAAACTATATCAAACTGGACTTGGGAAGAGCTCTCAACAAGCAAGCATGAGGATGGGGGCACATCACATAGAGGGGAGGGATCTTTAGAGCTCACAAGCATCCTCCACAAATGATTTAAAAGACTGCCGAAAAACCCTGTCACATTTGGTACTCTGTATTTTATGTCTATTTTTTGAGTTTTAATCAGGTGTACATAGAAACTCCCCTGAACGCAGTAGCTCTCTGAAACCTGCCCATACCTTTGAAGCTTGAACCCTTCTGTAATTTTAACCAAAAAACTATATACACTGTGGACTCAGTCCTGCGTTGTTTGTGTCCCCAAAATTGCCATTGATGCATAGGGAATGCAGGATTGAACACACACGCTCTCTTGGAGGTTCTAAAGTATTTTGCTATACACGTTAGAACCTCCAAGAGAACACTAAAACTAGATTGGGTTATTGTAGGGTTAGGGTCAGTTTTTGACATAGCTTAAGCCAGTGGCTCTCAGGCTCTTTCAAGGTGAACCACATCTTAATAGACTAGTGAGGTTCACCTCCCAACACTCGATCACCCCTCTGCTGTCTTGCCAATGCTACCTCGGTCTCTTCTCCCTTATATGTGCTGCCTGATTCCCTGAACGTTCTCCTCAACCGGCTGCAGGTCTTGGTGATGACTGCCAGCTTCAATCTTATTACTGCTTCTGTTACTTCAGTCCCAAAGACCCAGAAGTTGAAGGGTAGAATTTGTCGGGCAGCCATTCATGTGATCTGTTAATATTTCTTGTTCATGAAGTTATCCCAGGCACTGCTATAGAGCATATACTGTTGACTCTGAGACAGTAAGCTCTTCAGGGAAGGAACCGTGTGTCTGTAGTGGGGGCCTAGCACAAAGCCCTGACTGGAACCTCTAGGCACTGCTGTAATACAAATAAATAATAATGTACAATTTGATCCTTGGCCTAAGCTTGGGAGTTGGCAGAATAAGGTGTTTTATCATTGTTGCATTCTGATTCTCATCTACAGGGGGGTAGCTTCAGTAACAGACCGGAGCTGGCTGGGCTCTGGTTCCTTCTGGCTAAAGGTGACCCCCTTTGGCTTCAGAAAGATCCTGAGGTGGATAAAAGAGGAGTATGATAACCCTCCAATTTACGTTACTGAGAATGGGATTTCTGAACGTGGAGACCTTGGCCTCAATGACACTTGGCGAATACACTACTACAAGAGTTACATTAATGAAGCATTAAAAGGTCAGAACTATACTTTCATATTTTACCAGGAAACTTACAACGTAGTGCATGTTCTTAGTTCAAATAACATTAGCATCATCAAGGTTCTTGGGTCTTTGTCTCTCAGCAGTTCCAGTCTCCTGTGCCCAGTGCTGGCAGAGGCCAAATACTAGGGGCGCTAGCCCTCCACAAGCCATTAACTCAGTACAGAATTAAGACCAGTAACTTCAAGCACTTGCCACCTAATTCTGGACTTTTTTCTTTACCCCTGTATGTTGCATCATACTCTGTTTGCCTATGATGTACCTAATCACGACTGCAGAGAGAGCTCATCCTTTTGTTCAGGTTTTCCTGATGGAGCACTAAGCGTTGCTGTGTCTGAGACCAGCACCACCAACTACACCATATATCTGCATTACTGCTGCAGTGTAGCCTCCAGCGGTCCTCAGTGAGCTAGACCCTTGTTCAGACTCCCATCTATTGTGACCATTCGCTTTGCCATTCAGAACTGTTGTTCACAGTAGCTTATGGTTTAACTGTCTGCTCAAAGAATAGTTTGATGAGAATTAAGATCAGTTGTCATGTTGCTATTTAATACCTCATCTGTGTAAACACATACTAGCCTATAGTCAGTACTACCTGCTGTTATTTAATGTTAATTATAGCAGTGGGCAACTGTGGTGGTGGTGGTGTTGAAGTGGTATTCTTCCAAGCTGTGTCCACTGCAGCATTGCTAACCTCAAGAGATCATAAATCCTGAGATTATAAAAGACCATATTGTGTTTTTTTGGTCTGTTTTGATTTTGTTAAACTCCCCCTGCCCAGCCCCAGTATTTGTGTGAAAACTAAATCTATTGGGCACGATGATTTTGGCCCCTGCTCCAGGATTTCTCACCCCAACATCTGCCTGTCCCCCTGCCCAGCAATTAATTCTGTCCCCAGTTTTCTTCCTCCTGGGGTTCTTCATTCCTCTCTCTCAGAATTGGGAAGTTGTAGCAGGGTACCCCTCAATCCCTTCCCAGAAGGAGGGAGAGGGATCGAGGCATTGTCCTGTCCAATTGCTCACAGAAGGGAGCAGAACCATGCGGGACTCTTTGTCCCTCTTCCCTTCCTGTTAGAACAGTGCGCAGAGTGGGGAGGAACTCTGCTGGCTTCCACCAGGATTAATTTTGCAAGGGGAGCAAGAGCTCATCAACTGTGAAAATAGTGAGAGAGTTGGCAATACTGCCTTAGACATGCCCAGATGAGAGTACTGATGCAAGATCATGCAGCTGTTCAAAATATGAGATCTCCTCTTTATTGGGGGATATCACAGGAGCGGTTTATACACTGCAACGTGAAGGCTTTCTTCACAGTCTGAAAGAGCTTCACTTTTTTTAACTGACAACTTAGATTCTGGAGCACAAGATACCAGCCATCAAAGAGTACTGGTTCAATCCCTAAGTTACACATAAAAGATAAACAAAGTGAATGAAATAAAGATTTCCCTTTAACTGCTAGTTCTGAACTAGAATTAAGGATGGGTTGAGATGAAATCTGGGGGTATAAGTAACTAATTCCTCCAACACTATGATCAAATATGCCAAAAAAAAAAAAATGCAGAAATTGGGCTTGGTTTTGGCTTGAGTTGCTTTTTGGCTTGTAGCTTTTTTTTTTTTTTTTTTTTGATTGGCTCCCGGCAAGCAGGGGCAATGTGGGGAGAGAGTCAGGGGTGCACAGTGGGCCCACCACAGTCCCAGAT